TAGCAATAGGATTGTATCCGGATAAGAGGGCCCACACGACAGAAAACGACGGGTTTCGAACGGCCCAGAGTAGTTGCCGATAGTGTTGTGCGGGCGCAGTCTCTACTCGGAGCGCTAGTGCCGTAGCGCTCATTGTGTAATTTAGTGAGCAATAAACTCCAAAATTCTTATTTTATTACAATTTTTGCTTGCAGCCCAAAGACCCAAAGTCGTATGTACTCAACCGCATTGTTCCGCGCACATACCGTAGCTACGAGTGGACAGACGGAGACGTGTTGAAGACGGCTGCAGGAGGCGAACTGGTTGTGTCTCAGTCGGAAGACGCTTTTGGTTCCATTAGTGAGTAGATGATGACCACAGGATATTGAAAGAAGGAAGGATAAGGAAGATATTCGTGTGGTTGACCCCGACGTTTCAGAAAACATACGTGAACTGCCTTCCGCTCGATTCTTCCTCGTACCATAGCAACAACGGCATCGTGTACTCAGTCGCCGGAGATTTGCAGCCGGTAGCAGAAACTGTGCTCTCAGCACTTAAAAATGATAGCCGCTTAGCTACTTTTGTCTCTCGTAAGTTTGAATAAGAGGAACCTGTAGTGTCTCGTGGCCATCTATGTCCCTTTTTTGCAGTGCTCTCCGATGATATTCGCGAAAAGCTGTCATCAAATAAGTCGTTCACCGTGTTCGCGCCATCCGACAAGGCCTTCGCATCGCTCTCAAGCTCCTTGCTGAAGGATATAAAAGAAGGAACAGGATGCGCATCAGGTGAGCTATTGAAGCTATTCATAAGTGAACGTTCCTTCAGATCCAGAAAACGAAAAAGTCATTATAAAAATGAAATACAACCCCACACTTGACTCTTAAATCTTCTTTCCTCTGCATTTTGTTTCATTGCCATACTTCATTGAAGTTCTGTTTACGAACTGAAGTAGTGGGAGCCCTACAGGACAAGAAATGTTCTTTCTTCTATCCTCTTCTTTTCCGTAGAAGCATTACAAGGATTGCCGTGCTTGTCTTAGTGTTAGACCATCAACACAGAACTACAATTGAAGGGAAAAGGCCTAAGAACGGAATCAAAGTGATCGCAAATTCTCGGAATGACATCATTTTCCCCAAATGAATAAAAAGAAAGTATTTGCGTTGAGTAGCCCTTTTTCAAGCCGGCATCCCACTGCAATACGAACCGTAGTGGAATTCTGAAGGACATTTGACGGTAAAAATCCAATTCGGGGGCTGAGGGGGAGGGGATGGGTTGGCCCTCTATAGTTTGTACAATACTTGAAAGGCAAGCTACGGATATAGAAAGCAGGAGTACGAGGGCACGTAGTGATGACTGAGCTGCGCAATGAACTGAAAGTGGAAAAGAGGGCAAGAGAAATTATCGAAAACACTAGAACTAAGGTCTTAATCTACAGTAACGTCGGATATGATACGGTGTCGAGACAGGACGATCAAAAGAAGACAAAACGCGCGAGGGAGCACGGCGTTCGAGAGACCTCAGCGATCTCTATATCAATTGCGTGGGTGGGAAGGCGTTGCAAAATGGGTCGATTGTTGCAGTTGTGCCTGGATAGCGCCCTAAAATCGCGCAATTTTGGACAACGAAGCTGCATGATCCATTGAGATATTCTTAACTATAGTGTGGGCTGTACCTCGGAGTTTACTTTGAACGCGATACGGAGAAGGCATGAAACGGCCCAGTTGATCTTGATGGCGTACGATCCAGGATTTCATCCTGGGTCCATACATACAGTAAGCAGCCTCACTTGCCACTACCCAACATCTCATCCACAACTCTGAAAGTTAGACTATCAGATCACTATAAGAGTGGAAGATTTTGAAGGAACTAGGAAAAATAGATTTTAGAATCTTGACCATATTTGGAGTTCTTTTGCGAAATTTTTTGGAATCTTTTGAAAAAATTTGGCGCCTATTTCGTGCTATACGATACACATACCAAGATTTCTAAAAATTAATTTGTAACATCAGAACAATCTTGTGAGAATTTTTCGCATTCGAGAGGAAGTTAACAGCGCCGTCTCAATTTGGAATCCTCTGTGCAAAATCCTGTTGTGGTTTCAGATTTCGCCCGTAGTCACATCGTCAATGGTTCTTTCTGCTCCCATGACTTATCGGATCGGCTACTGAAATCGCTTACTGGAAGCGAGCTTGAGGCTCGAACACAAGTAAGTCAGGAGCTCTCTGTTTAACACAGGACGAAAACATGTCCAGGAAGCACAGTGTGGGGCGTGTAACCGAAAAACAAGTCGAACCAACTTATCAATAATATTTGAAACGAAATTGAACGGTGGGTAATCAGCAGCTAGGAGGACAGGAGCCGTCTAGACCGAATCAAATGATAGAACCGTATGGGCACGCAAGTGCCTGCCCCATAAAAGTTCAACATTTGGATCAAATATAGCTTCCATCTCCCTACCATTCGACAGTAATTTGAAGTGGCTGCAACAAGTACATGATGTATGATAAAGAGATAAACCTATAAAAGGTATCGTAAATATGAGGAGTAAACCGATGACTTGCGAGTAAAAGTGGAAGGTGTGGACCCCGAGTTTGAAAGGTTTGCTTCACCCCATACCATTATTGGTGGGATGAGAAGAGGTTTAACGTCCTGCTTGCCATGTCTGATGAATGGAAATGGTGGCTATTGGTGCAGTGGCATCGTGGCATGCTGGACCTCCTCCCGTTTGCGACCCCCTCTATCCTCAGGTGTAAGTAAGCGTTGAACCTGACAAAATCTGCGAAATTCCAGCGAGCTGGAGAAGAGGTCAAGCACAGACTTCCGAATCAAAAAAACCCTGACTCGGCCAGGAAAACGTTTGACCTCGTATGGGCTGTATGCGCAGTGGTGTCGCAATACTTTGGTAGCATACGTTTCTGTAGTTTACTGATCGTGTTGCATACATTCTGTAGTATTAAAGGAATCTTCCACGGACCATGGACCAGTGGGCGGGACCGGAAGTTTTTGTGACGAAATGCATGGTAGGTACGGATCCACGTGTCGAACGCACGAACGTGAACAGGATTCACTTCAAACCTTCCCATGAACGTGGATCCGTACCTACCATGCATTTCGTCGCAAAACCACTTCCGGTCCCGCCCCTGGTGGTCCATGGTCCGTGGAAGATTCCTTTAAAAAGAAAACCTTTGTCAAGAAATTACACGAACCACGGTAGTTTCGCTCCCCTCCTCCACGACGGACCTCTTTAAACTCGATAATTTTGAGATTGATCGTGTCAGTTCTCTTGGCTTCTGACTGTGAAACTCATGAATCATGAGCGGAAGCCGGCTCTCAGAACACTTTAAGAACGGGCTGAATAAAACCAAGCCCTTCTTGAAACGCTTTTCGCCTCCTATTTCAATTTGAGAACCGTGGTAGCATGTCAATCTGTTCATCATAGGCTTGCAGGGACCAGGATGTATTATCATCCTAGACCATTTTGGCACCACTGAATTTACCTCGGCGGCTTGTAGCGGGCCGGAGATTTAAGCCCTGGACCATGATTTGGTAAACAAGGCGCGCTACTTTCTACGACTACGGCCCTTCGGCATCTGAATGTGGACACCTTTTTTAGATGGGAATGTTGGAAGTAGCAAATTGTGTAAGGCAAATTTGTTATCGATATGATGAGAAACGGACTAATTTCATGCACGTAGCCCTTCTGATGATTTCCTCCTTTCGTTCTATTACTCGTGGCCCTGATCATGAGGATGAGAAAAAGGCCATTATTCCAAAATTATTTACCCTCATCCTGAATCTTTCAGGCTAAAGGAAACGAGAGAGTGATTCACATTGGCAGGGCAAGAGTGACGGTAAGCAACATTTTCGCCAAGAACGGCGTCATCCATCTCATCGACGATGTCGTCTTCAACGACGAACGTTAGTTCTTTACTTTTCAACATCCAGCATCCAGCCTTCAGAACATGTTGTTAAGTGATGTCGTGGAGGGAACAACTTATACGAAGTTATACGACCAACCTGAAGGAGGCTCTGGAAGATGTCGTGACGAACTCAAGCGAGAAACTAACGATTTTCGTGCCACCGGCAGACAACACTACCGTGAGTTCTTACCTTCTCGCCTTCTCTTTATAATCCATGCAACGTTGAGGCTCATTTCTCACTTAGGAGAACATTACTCGCTTACTCGGAAATCTCTTGATTTTATTGTAGGCTCTTCCGCTGAAGCCACCGAAGGAGGATTGAACATTGTTAACTATCCGAGATGGTGTTATATTTCAGATTACCTCCGAATTTGCCAAGAATCACGTCGTCATTGGAGACTTGCTGGATGATTTCAAGCGTTCCTCGACGGTTACGACGCAAGCAAATTCTACGGTACGTGAAAAAGTAGCTAAAAAGGGTCGGTCAAAAAATTGAGTGCCTCTTTCAGATCTTCACTGGCTACTCTCGTAAAACACCTCCCATTTGGATACGAATCTCGACGCAACCTCGCCATCGCCAAAGAGGGCAAGTTGGCTGTTCCAGAATCATTGAGGACAGCGTGAAAGCATGCCGTGCAATTCTTCAATTCATTGAAAAGGTACAGAAACAAGTTTAGCATTGTGTCGCTGAACGGAATCCCAAATACAAATTCTTCGGGAGTCCAGTTTAATGTAGGGACCAAAATTGTGAAGCCTGAGCTTCCGAGACGTGAAAGATCTATTCTTGGAAGTCTTTTGTTACTAGTAAGGCGACTTCCTTAGATCTACATAGTACATCA